TGTGATTTGCTGTAACAGCCTGATTAGAAGAAGTCGAAAACTCCTGCACATACTACTTCCTCATCCTTTTAGTGTATTGAGATAAGAGGAAAATATCTTCATGTCTATGTTTAAGAACTCCATTATGTTTCATATTTAAATGCTGTAGAGATTACCCTGAAACTTTTTTTTCGTTTAAATTTTCGGACACGAAATGGACTTGAAACTGAAGTGAGAAAGATTGTCAGTTATTCGATCTAGTCTTGAATGAATCGATTCCAGATGAAACCTGGTCGGAAGTATACGAATGTCTTTGTTTTTTGCAATTTTCTTCGTTAGTGTAAAAACAACAACAGGCAGAACAAAAAAAAACGAAACTCATGTTTTCTCTCAGGGTTCTGACGTTCGTATGGTAAGCATTCTTCCGAATACAAATCTTCAAATGTCTCATTGAAACACGGTCTTTTTTTTAGTTTCCTTTTTTGCTACACTGTCGTCGGTAGCAATGATTTCTTCGTTAACATTGAACCTGTTTTAAACCAACTGGATGACCTCATTGCTTCTAATTCTAGTTCATCGGACGAATTACTTAATCTCTGTTTCAAAGCACTAAAAAGTGCATCGATCGTTCTTCCAGATGAATGGGAAGCTCTCATTGGTAGTGATAAATATGTTCTGTATAAAATAAAATTAATGTGTCACCGTATTCAAGCGGAAGAAATTGTTCGAAAATTAAAACAATTATCATCAAAAATTCCAAATAATGAACAGGGTTTCCGTCGTGATGTATTTCATGTCATATCGAATGAACGAAATGCTGAATATTTCGTTGAAGCAACAGAATATTATTCTGAAGTTCAATTTTATCCCAATTTCAATAGTATGATGAAACTACGTGAATGGAAAGTATACAAATTATTATCCTCATTATGTAATCGAACAACAGAAGATATACCAGAACTGAAATTCGTGGCACAATACAATTTAGAAAAAAGTCAATTTGAAGATGGTAGACCGACATATATGTTTGGTAGAACAAATATGGAGGACGGTGAACATGTTTCAATTGTGAACTATGAAATAAAGCCTGGGCCAGAATTCGATGGATACTATCAAATGAAATTACTGGTTATCAAAGATTTGAAATCATTGAAAGGATTACCAGTTTTGGCCAGAACAATACGCGATCGAGAAACAGGAATTAATACTGTTATTGTCTACGGTCTTACACGGCGACTTCGAGATAGCTTTGGTCTTGAAACCCACAAGGACATGTTCTTTGATGATGATCGAGTTACGAAGTTTGACACAAAAACAGGACAAAAAATATACAAATCCGATTTGTAAACTAGTACTACTTTTGGTTCTACTAATTTTCAAACATATAAATATTTTCCTCTTTTTCATTGCATCCTATTCAAGAAATTTTAAACATTCATTCTTGATTACATGTTTCTTTCCGAACGACCCTAATAAAATCGAAACTTCGCATTTCAAATAGAGTTTCATTTGTTAATCATTCGACACCATCTCTAATTCAGCAATTTGATAGAATTCTTCGGTCATTTATTCCATGGTTTTCTTTTCTATTTCATTTGATTCTTTCTCAGATGTGCTATCATTTTCATCGAGACAAATTCAACGATATATCATATCGGTCTTTTGAATACATAGAATTTCCATCATACTGGAAGCGTTCGTTTTTCAATCCCATTTCAGTTTTTTTTGTGTTCTTGTTCGAAATGCATGCGGTAGCAAAAAAAAGAAAACGCAAATATGGTCGGTGTGTAGGGTGTGGGTCAGGGTATGGGTATTGATGTCCTTAAGAGTCAGAATCGCACCCACATCTACATCAATCCCAAGCCCAGACCCACAACCACACCCACACCCACCCATACCCTTACAATTCGAAATTTCGTGCTCAGTGTTCTTGGTATTGCCCATTGACGGAGCATAGTTGAAGCTCTTCCCCCTGAATGGTCAACAGTTATAAACTTGAAGTCACTTCACACTAGCCATCTCATCTCTGAACAAGTTATCCAAAAATGGATACATTCGTATCCTTTTACTATTCTCAAAGAAGAAGTAAACACTTAAAAAACTGCTATGTGATGCGTAAATGTCTCGAACTCTTCTGTATATATATATATATGTGTTGTATTCTATTCTCATACTTCAAAAATAATATAAAAAATTCATTTCAAGACGGGCAAGACTTTTGTCGTCGGCTATATCTGTGATCAAAATGTCCGCATTTCACAATAATGAGATGAGTTCTTCTAGAAGGCCCTTCCTTACTGTCAAACTAACCTCATATCTTTCTCACTTACCTCTATTTCGCGCGGCGCACGGTAACAAAAAAGTAGAAGCATCTACTCTTATCTTATTCTCGCTGTTTATGAAGTTATAAAACATCGCTAAAATACTCCATCAGTATCGCACAACAACCTTGTAAGGTTCAGGGTGTGGGTGTGGGGTTTGGGTGGGTGTGAGCTGTATTGGTCTGTCCAACAGAGAGATGCTCTTTCACTCGACACGCAGACCCACACCCACATCCCTCAGATATATCTGATAGAATTATCTTTAAAACGAAAAAGTAAAGCAAAACAATGTAGTCTTCAATATAATCTTGAGTTGATTCCACTAGCTCCTATTATAAGAAACTGTCAAGTTGAGAAAGGTCTGTCATATTTGAACCTAAAATAACACTCGATATTTGCAACGTTAAACACGCATAGTTGATTAAGTGCAATTCAAGAAATTGATTTGTAGTGCAAAATTCAGTCGAAATTATTTTCATAAAGAGTGCTATATATAAAACATCGACTTTAAATATAACCAATTTTATTTGGCAGTTAGGTCTATAGTTGAAAGAATTCCATTTGGATATTAAACATTGTAATTGAAAAGTTAATTTTCTTTGATACTGAAGTTTTACGCGTAATTTTTTTCATCGACAGTTACACGCAGACACTTTTATAAAGAGACATCCCACGTACGACATTATAAAGCAAAACTCTTCAGCGCAACAAGGATGCTTTTCTGTTCACATTTCATTAAATTCAAAACCACTCCCAAGTTCGTAATTCCTTGTTAGGGTGTAGGTGTTGATATTCTCTTCTTCAAGATCCACACCAACACACACCCACACCCACACCCCACACCCATCCACAACCACACCCCACACCCATCCACAACCACACCCCACACCCATCCACAACCACAACCACACCCCACACCCACACCCACACCCACACCCACACCCACACCCACACCCACACCCACACCCACACCCACACCCACACCCACACCCACACCCACATCCACACCTACCCACACCCACACCCCACCCTAACATCCCCACACCCACACCCTTTTGAAAAAAACAAAAGTTATGTAGAATGATAGAGTCTTTAATGCTGATTCTAAATATGTAATTAGAATTTTAAAAATCTTCTTTTATGGCAAAGAAGAGTGCGCTTCAAGGGTCAAAATTTTACCTCATTACTTAGTTACAAGAATGAAAGCCCATCTCAATAACTACGAATTCTTTTGGAAAAACTGAAGTGAAAAAGTGTGAAGTAAGGTCCAAGGTACAAAATAATAATATCAAAACTTAATGTTGGGGGGGGGGGCAGATTTCCAGTCTTGTCCTGCGGGGTCCTTTATTCATATATCTATGAATGGTGCGTGAAGCTTATAGCTTTTGCGAATTCAATATCTGGAGAAGAACACATCTACTGACCTGAAATTTTCAGAGCATTCTGGCTATGAGTATACCTATCTGTAGGAAAAACTTCAGCTCAAAATAACATCATTCGATTTGCTGATATGTGTCGAGATATTAGCTACAATTATATTATATTGGCCATAGTTCTAGAAAGAAGAACCAAGGGCTCGTATCCTTTTGGAATTTTTCATATTTCACTGGGGTTTACTGAATGCACAGAGTCGGAACTTGAAAACAGTTTATTACTTGAGAAAGTTTCCTCGTCAGTCAAGTCTATTCTACTCGTTGTAAGTACAATTTTCCTACTTTCAGCAAGTATAATAAGTTAATGCTCGTTTATTAAAGCATATGATGGGTTACAAATACAAACAATAATTATTGAAGCTCAAAGTTCATTTTCAAAGCTTTGACGGCTAAACCAAACATGGTGACGAAAATAACACTTGTTTTATGTTGTAAAGTCTAACCACTTGGGTGACAATATGCATTGAATGTACCTGTCTGGTTTTCAGCTGAACAGATATTTGCCAATGTAGTTCGACATTTTTGAATACAAGTTTCAGTCGTGCATGGTGAGTCGAAAAAGTCGGCGAAGGTGCAGGTCGTGAAAGGTTCTTTGCAGCATGAACAAGCGCACCAATCACCATTAGTACCTTGAATCAAGCTTACAAAAATAATTAAATTCACGATTAGTAGAGTCTTTGTGATATGCATATCTATAAAAATCGATGATCGAAAATAGAGCTACGAATTGTAAAAGACACAACAGATTTTGTCCTCTCAAAAATGACTATTCGATGTAATCAAAAGTATGGACTTCTTGCAATAGTGATACGTGGAAGGTTTTTATGTTCTATATCGCGTTTCTTTTTACATCGTATTTTATCATTTGTATCAATATCTTTTTCTTTCTTTCAAACAATAGCCATGCTTTTTGCTGCGCATAAGAAACATCATCTAACCAAGCGTTTTTTTTTTTTTTTAGAGATAGACTACTCGATTTTGGGGGTGGGAGGGTGTGTGAGTGGATAGGGTGCCTTCGCGGTGATGTTTTCTCTGCATCG